CCCTTCATTATTGAACATTGCAGAAGAAGCTCTTGGATGCACTTTCTGGACCTGTACAATCAATCCTGGAAACTGGCGAGCGAGACTCTTGGGCATCTATTAGGAGATTATATAGGCGTGAGACCGAACATATTATATTGACATTTTCAGATTCCCTTTCTGAGTATGAACTAGATCAGACAACTTCTGTTGAAATGGTCTTAGAATTAAGGGAACATGCAAAATGTACAGTAGTAAAGAAAGCTCGAGAAGAAGCTGGAAACATCCTTATTCGTATGAAAGGAAGGTAGGACATGATTCCTTTCTTTGCTGAAGGAGAAACTAGGAAAACGTGGCCTTTATGTTTTAGGATAGCACTGCCATCTTTATATCGTTAACATGTTTGCTACCTGTTTTATTTGATTATCTATAGGTTTTCAACTGTGTTGAGCCATGATAAAGATTTGATGCCAAGGACATGGATGGCAAATGAAGATATACATGCAATCACCCGAGAAGCACGCTTAGCGGTATTTATAGTTTCATACTTGTCATGTTCCAGAATTACCAACACACCATTCTTGGGTGGGTGAAGCAATCATCTGTGATTTGTGTGTACAAAAAGTATCATATGTTTACCATCTTCAATTTTCAGGCGTTAAGGCTTATGTCGGTAATGGCAGCTGTAAGGTTGGATGATAAACCAGATAAAATAGACCGGGCTCTGATGGTTTCTCTTCTAGATGGAGGACCACTTTGCTGGAAGAGGAGCATCGAGTTCACTTCTGATCCACTAGCTTCAACCACATGGCAAGAGGTGCTGCGTCTTATACTTTGCTCTCTATGGTTTACAAGGCATGGAGTGAGAAATAAGTTGGAACATTTTATGTTTGTACAGGTGTCACCACAGGATACACTAATCACACCAGTGCAGTGTAAATCCATCTGGAGGCAATTCAAAGCTGAGACGGAGTATCCTGTTGCACAAGCAATTTTGATGCAGGTCTATTTTCCTGGGTTATTTTTCCCGCACAAAATAAATAAATATTTTCCTGGGTTATTTGCTGCCCAAGTGTTCATCCAATCGATCAGTTCTTTCATAACTGTGATCTATGTTTTCTTGAATGGTGAACATGAGCCCATGAGCATCCCTATAAACAGTAAAATCTAAATAGCAAAAAGAATCAAACTATTCTAAAACTTTATATTAATAAACCTGGTCGGCTGTTCTACTCAAAGTTGAAGGTTCACGAAGAAATGACATCTGTGGTATTCTTAGCAAAGCAAACAAAATTGGACATCCAAATTGCTTCAAACGATGCTTTTTTAGCACCGACTTTTTCTTTTTTCTTTGGCCAGAATACCACGATGTCATTTCCTTTTTGGACACGGCCATGGTTACCAAAAATAATAATCAGATTTACCATTTTTTTTACTGTTCAAAGGGTGAACATGGGCCCATGTTCCAATAAGCCCATGTTCCAATAATCCGTGTTGGAAGTTGGAACCTCTGGGTACTAATCTTGGTAGTCCCATCCTCATTGTTTCCTTTTCACCTTATATGTGGAATTATGTTTATGGTATATCTACCTAAGTATATGTGCTGTATGTGGTGTCCTGATCGAATTCTTCCTATCCAACCCTTTCTGCAGGAAGCACACAGACGTAGTAATAATTCATTACCACCTGCGTGGACCATTCTTGTTCTTGCAATACTTGGATTCAACGAATTTATGTTTCTTCTTAGGTACTTATCTGACTGAAGTAATTCTTTATGTGGTGGAATATCTGAATTATCTTTTAAACATTTAATTCAAGTTGTTTCTAGTTAACATGATATTCTGAGATTTCAGTGTTCAGGGTTGTAACAGGGCCATTTTCTCATGTTGGTGGGCTGACTAACCAGGGCTGTTCTTTTGTTCATGAGCAGGAACCCTGTATATATTCTGGGGCTCTTTCTCGCTTTTGTTCTATCCTATGCTGTATGGTTGCAATACGACATTAGGGCTTATTTCCGTCACGGCACTGTAAGAATCTACACATCTCTTTCCATAGATATTAGATCCATGGATTCCTTTTAATTGCCACAATGGAAGATGCTTCTACTAGGCATTTCTCATCTTTTCTCATTATGCCAGTTAGAATTCCTTGCTTGTATTTCTTCCTGATGCATTTTCACTTCAACCGAAGATTGCCAAACATAATTTCCAATTGTTATCCTGCCATCTGCAGGTGTCTGGACTTATCACTGTTTCGTCAAGTCTCCTCCCCACTATCATGGATATCGTAACGGCGATCATCAACATGAGCCACAGGAAGAAGCACTCCTTGCACCGGTCTCGCCGAGCCCCGCCATACCATGCTCAAAGCTTGAGCAACCAGTCGCAGCAACACGCTGAAGTGCACTATCATGCTTCTCCAGACTCGCCGTCCTCGGTGGACTCAAGCAGTGGAGGTGACTCTTGAAACCGTCAGCACAAACGTCTCATGGAAGGAGCACTTAAATCTCGACGTGATGTGCAGATGAGTAGTACGTATATATGGTAAGATGCGGCGAGCATAAACGACTCAAGGAGCACTTCAATCTGGATGTGATGTGCAGATGAGTAGTACTCCCTCTATTCCAAAATATAGTGCGCCCGCGCTTTCCGAGGTCCAACTTTAACCATAAATTTAACTAACAAGACCAACTGCGGCGGGAGAAAAAATTATATAATTAAAAACTTCTTTCAAATACGAATTCACTGATATAATTTTTGCTCGCGCCGCAATCGGTCTTGGTAGTTAAATTTACGGTCAAAGTTGAAGCACGTGGATAGAGGAAGCACTACATTGTAGAGTGGAGGGAGTAGTACATATCATAGTAGTATATATTAGATCCATGTATTCTTTTTAATTGCCACAATGGAAGTTGCTTAAATATATACCTTTCTCATACACACACGCAACAAAATAGCACAAAAATATGACATAGCAAGAGATTTTTTTCCCTATTCAAAGTTTAACAAGTTTTGTCCCCCAAATCGTTTACACAATTGATCCACTTTTACTATTAGCTTCCTCATGAGGAGTTCTTTAAAACTAGATCTCTTGTTGGTATGTCTGATAAATATTTTTGTGTACTTGCAGATCACTGTCACTTGTCGTATTTAGCCACTTAGTTAACAGATTCAGTTAACTTAGTTGTGAGGTTTCTGAACGTCAATATACAGTATTAAAAGACTTGTTTCATGGTACTTGTGTGGGTTAATGCATTTTCTTGCTTATTGTTAACACTTTAATACTCATTCTGTAGCTCTTCACAACATTCTAAGTTTAAAAATATACAAAATTATTGTATGGTACTTCCTCCGTTTCTTTTTAATCTACATATAGGGTTTGTCTGAAGTCAAACTCTGACCAACTTTATAGAAAAAAAATCAACATTCTCAATACGAAATTAATATCATTAGATGCATCATGAAATTAATTTTTATACTATGTAGCTTTAGTATGATATTTTAAATATAATTTTGGTCAAACTTTATATAGTTTGACTTCAAACAAACCTTATATGCAGAGTAAAAAATGAAGGGGGTCACTATACACAATGTTTGTGGCAATTGTTCTGGTTAATATGACAACTATCGTGACATAATCTAACAATTGATGGCGTCAAAAAAATTAAACATATGAATATGGGATCTTGTTTCGAATAGCTCGCTGAGACAACTCTCTGGCTAAGACAGGTCAATAATAAGATTAATGGCATGAAGACGAATCATTTTGAATTTAGCAATTAGTGCCATGATGTCACCATGAGGTGGAAGATTGCACGCATGCATTTCCTCCCTAAGGGAAAAACACCATTGGGATGCACTTTTGCACACACATGCAATGTAGATTTTTCTTTCTTCTCAATTTATTGACCACTATATGGACACTTAAATTGAAGTGGAAGATAGTCAAATGCCCAAATGGCCCCCCTCTCCCTCAACCTGGCCTACCCACCCACACTCTCGCATCCAACGCCTCTTCACTCGTCGACGTGCCGGACAAGCCGCACTATGTTTGCTCCTGTCAAATTGTGCTACGATGTCGCCTAGGCGTCCGGAACGCCATGGTCTCGACTTCGAGGACCAGATCAATTATGGCCGGCAAACACCAGTTTCTATGCACCTCTTGTGGCTAGTGCACCCTTCTCTACACAACCTTATCCACCACCAAGCTCAATCTAGACTCCACGTGGGTTGCCACTCTACTACCGAATACTTGCAGTGGCCGCACATCTAAGTACTTCGTCGCCCAACTTGACGAACTCAATTTCGGTGCCATAGCCTAGATCCTACTCCAACAAGACTACCTCACATAGAAATTTACTTTTGACTTCTAGCTGAACATATATGTTTTCCTCCGGTATCGTCGGCACCACGCACACTTGCAAAACCCTAGTTGACCTAATCCACACACATGGTGACCTACTGGCTAACTTCAAAGTCACAACATGGCAAAAATTTCAAGTTTAACAATGATCAATAGCCTTTTCATCTTCATTACCATGAAATCCATTAGCTTCAAGGATAGTAATAATTTCAAGTTCAATAAATACACTGATAGAGGCGAAGGTGTCCTAGTGTTTCGATGAGAGGTAGCTACCATTTCCGATGGAACTCGACTTTGACGATTCGACTATGACCGTGCGAAGAAGTCGCACCTTAGCAATCGCTAAACCAACTTCAAGAGGTTACTAACCACGTCGGAACACGATCAACCTGGCCAAGAGAGTCTATTTTCTGCACACAAATGAAGAACAAACAAGAAACTGAGATTACAATCTGGATATTGCGAATATAAAAGGAAAACTTTATTGATCAAGTGGGGTTCTATGACGTCTTGGTCTGATCATTGAACACAAACGAAGGACGCAAGTTGCAGTTATGGTGAACTTTAATCTAAAAAACCCAAGTCTAAAATGACGCCCTAAGGGTTGTATTTATAGGGAGACAGAGGGGAATTTTGTCCATCCTTGGCAAGATGGGACTAAAATTCATTTTCCTATTAATACGGATTCTAAAAACAACATATTAAGTGTATTTTGAAATTACATGGGTTTGGTACAAAAATAAGGTGGCGACACACCTATATCACGTTATGGACGAAATTTATGAAAGGTCATCTTATATATTTCGTCCATGTCCTTTGTATGTCATCATGATGGCTCTAAAGTGCTGAAAACTTCATTAGAAAACTCCGTTCTTGTTCCCTTTCCGCTCGCCATCATCTTCATGCTTGATCATGCTCCGATGTTCGTCCTTCTTGTCCGTGTTGGCTCCTTCATTTGTAAGCAAAACAAATATAACCAATTTAGGCAGCATCATATCCTCATGAACATTAGAATCATTACCAACAAATGAAAGTACCTGGTAATTTAGTCGGCGTGCGCAAGCTCTAATAATTGGTTTAGTATGTGTAGCAGCAGGGGTTGTGGGTGTAACTGTATTAGTGATGTCCTCATCAGACATCATAAGAGTAACATTTAAAATAAATATGAGAAGCACAAATGTCATCATCAGGGAGAAACATGTCTCCTGAAGCTTTCTTCTAAATAGGTCAATTAAAGCATAAGGGTCTTTTGGTGTTACGTACCATACAAGCTCTAGAAAAATTCTCGTCATATCAATTCAGTTGGTGTTCTTAAAGTAACCAGTTTATGTTATGACTATGAAGTCGACCGACAGTAGAACAAAAAGTAAAAATCAGAGAAGCATCTAGTGGAACAAAGGTAAATCTAAGTAGCAGTGCTCACAAAATTAAACATGCCATACGCACCAGAATAACAAAGTACTCAAAATCGTCTTCGAAGCAATCACAGAGAAAGAAGATGGGGAGAAGTTCTTCGGACACATGTAAGTTATAGAACTAAATGTGATCGAAGAAGTAGAACCTGTAGGCTTGACGAAGACAGAGATTTGTTCGACAAGTTCGAGTTGTTGGAACAACTCTATGCTTGGTTGGAGGGGCTGAGATTTAACTCAGAATACCAGGTCTTCACCCTATTATCCTTGAGCTGAAGTCACTTATACTTATCACTCGTGGTAGATCTTTGAGGTACATGTCGAGACATTCACTGACTTGTGTTCGGTTGTTCACAATAACTCTCAGATGCTCTGAGTAGACACCTAACCGTCTAGTGGATGCACAGTCCACAAGAGTAACATGTTAACTTGAGTTTCAGTTAGTTCTTTAGTGATGTTCAATCACTTAACAGTTGTAGGCTCTGGGATTTTACTCTCTTAGGATTCTCAAAATCTCTTCGGGGGGATGGGTTGCTCTGACAAGCTCTTGTCAATTCACTCACAGAGCAACCAACCGTTTAAGGTTGAAGTGGGGTGGCTATTTATAACCGGGATCAGTCTCGAGGTGCGAAATGACCAATAAGGAAACCAGTCACCTATTGTACACATGACACGTGGCGTAATGCTAGGATTTCAAACGCAACCAACATCTTACTTGCGGAATGAGTCAAGCCAACTCAACTTGATATTCGGGCGCACGGTAAACATCAGTACTCCAATGCATTTCGCTGTCTAATTCGAAAAAATATGCTATTATAACCTTTCTTCAAATATGTAAAGTGGACGTTCTAGCTTCTAAAGTTTTGAGCATCAGTACTTCTTGGACTTGCCCTTCTTCTTGAAACTGGTGGTCGTGTTGACCATCAACACTGTTTTATTCTTCTGCATTCCAGCTTCGACAGTTTTGAGCATAGCAAACAAATCGTTTGCACTATTATCCATCCCATTCATGTTGTAATTCATGATAAAGCCATCGTAAGATAGTGGGAGTTAAGCAAGCACAATATCTGTACCGAGTGTTGGCAGAATTCCAAATTCTAGAGAAGCCAGTCTATCAACATAGCCAGCAAGCTTCACTATATGCTCACTCATTGAGGAACTCTCTTTCATCTTGCATTCAATCAAGGCCTTGGTTAATTCAAAATGTTTAGTCCTTGACTGCTTCTTGTACATAATTTCCAGTGACCCAATTATGAATTGAGTTGTGGCTCGTTCAAAACGCTTATGTAGTTCAGGATCCATGCAAGTTAACAAAAGGCAATGGACCGAATCATATCATCACTACGAGCAACATAAGAAGCAACTTCTTCTGGTGTTGCATCCTTTCCAGGAGCATCACCTAGGGGTTGATCCAGCACATACTCCTTCTTAGCACTCTTGAGAACAGATCTCATGTTTCGGATCCAATCCTCATAGTTTCCACCATTAGTAGCCAACTTTTGTTTCTCTAACATATGGGATAAGTTGAACATATTGCGAGCCATTGATCTACAATGATAGACACAAAATATTTAGACAATATCATAATTAAACCTTGCACTAAGTTGTTATAATTTTAACAATATGAAGTGCACTCCCACTCAAGTTAATATCTCTCATAATTAATATTAAGTGATTCAAGATCCAAATCTA